TATATGGATCATTGTATGGATTATTATATGGATCATTGTATGGATTAATATATGGATCATTACTCCTTTAAAATCTACCCTCAATCAGTTGCTAGATTGAACAAAAATGAAATCTCACTACATGAAAATACACCAGAACTGTCCTTAAACAATAAATTCATGAGTCATCCATTTATTTTTCTTTATTTTTATCATTCATCTGTAGTTTGTCATATTTCTGTTTGATGTTTTTCATCCGTTTTCTCCTCTTCATGACAAAGACCCAAACCTCCACACCCTCCTCGTCCCCTAAAAGGTCACCTGTTGTCACCGAGAGCAACGAAACTCCAGCTTCCTCCCGAAACAGCCACAGCTCCATCCCCGTTAAAACCAGCAGCCCGGGGCGGCCCGGAGTAAGTACCGGACCGACCTCGGCTTAGAGTTTAGACCTGGTGGTCCAAAAGGACGAGCTGATTCCCCGCTGGCCTGATTCAGTCCTGCTGATTCAGTCCTGCTGATTCAGTCCTGCTGATTCAGTCCTGCTGATTCAGTCCTGCTTCAGAGCTCAGATAAATTCACCGACATCTTCATCTTTTCATGTCGGGGTACAGTTTCCTGTTTTGTGACATCATCTAAACAAAGTGTTTAAACTCCGCCTGTGGTTTTCAGGGCGCTGCAAAGCCTCAAGGAGCCAAAACCTCCACCAGAACTGCAGCTCATCCAGGTAAATTCCTGTCGGCACCACGGCCACTGCTTTTATTTTCACTATATCTTACGATCTTGTATTTTTGTGATGCAGCTAGTGCCAAGAAACCCCCTACCCTCAAAAATGAAAAAGGTAAAACGGAGTAAATTTAGGAACGCTTCCCGCCTCGCATGGCCACGATGCCAAAGTCTGATCCTTGGGATCAAACATGGCCGGCTTTAAGCCCGCAGATTAACACGAGTGTTTATTTCTCCATCCCCTTTTTAACGGAGCGCCTCCCAACTTGTAGTTTTTCTGTTTTTCAGATGCCAGGAGCGGGCAGAGCAGCCCCGGAACACCCAAATCCCCCGCCAGCCAGGCGGTTTCAGCCTCCGAGGCCAACAAAGTGAAGAAGGTGGCCGTGGTTCGCTCCACTCCGAAGTCTCCGGGCTCGCTGAAGACCCGCTCACCGGCTCCTCTGGCCGCCGCCGCCGCCGCCGCGCCCATACCCGACCTGAAGAACGTCAGGTCCAAGATCGGCTCCACGGACAACATTAAACACCAACCTGGAGGTGGAAAGGTAACGTAACACGGACTGACTGGTCAAACTGGGGCGGTCTGGTTAAATCTGAATTCATGCTCCTGGTTTATTGAAAACGTCTCTGAGTGTTTAAAACTAATAAAAAATTATGTTTTAAGTTTTCCATCATGTTATATTTATATGAACTGGTTAGCTTCATTAACCGATGACCTGATGATATTTATATTTTTATTTGTTTAGTTTCAGTTTACTTTATTTATTTCTTCATTCTGATTTTTTAATCATTCAGAATCTTTAGTTTTTATGTTGCTTAAAAGTTGTTTTTTCAAACGACTGGGGTGGCTGAACATTAAACTATGGGGGCCAAGGCCACCATCGGCCACCCCCTGGCTCCACTCGGCGCCGCCTCGGACAGTAAAAATAAAATAACCCCCTCTGTTCTTCGCAGCGTAACTCCTCCCTACTTGAATATGTTGCACTAAAAACATTTAGGTTTATTTTCATTCCCAGTTAATTCCAGTCCAGAAAAACACTCGTCTCTAAACGACACACGCCTCAGCGACGAGGAACATCGGTGTTGTATTAATGTTTGACGAACCCGAGGATTTTCATGGATTTTTATTACAGAAACAAACGATCAGTAATTATTTAATGATGAAATTCAAACAACGTAAAAACTGTTTTATTGAGCAGCTGATTGTTGTTATCTGGTAAACGTTTCAGTCAAAACCCGGTTTAAGAACCGGTCCAGTTCCCTGGACCTAAAGAATTCCTCGACCTGCATGCTGTTGCACAAACCGCTACACAAGCTAACGGCCAGTTCTGTCTCGGCGCCGCATCTGAAAGTGACGTTCTCGTTCTTCCAGGTCCAAATCCTTGATCAGAAGTTGGACTTTAGTACTGTGCAGTCTAAGTGTGGCTCCAAAGACAATGTGAAACATGTTCCCGGTGGAGGCAATGTGAGTAAGTGAGGGATGAACTCAACGCCCGACTCTTGAGTTTCTCTGCAGTTATGACGATCAAACCCAACGTCTCTGTAAGAAAACCACGAGCGTGTCTTTAAACCAGCTCTGCTAGAACACGAGGTCACACGATGGAATCAGTCGACATGTTTAGGTTCTGCACGAGAACGTTAAAGGAAGCATGCTCCTTTGATGCTGGAAAGCTGCCATCTGTAACATGTTCTTTGAAATGAAACAAACATGGTTTAATACGAGTCAGAACCTGACCATAGATTTGATTTAAATGGATCAATGAAGAGGTTTTGTTGTGACCTCTGAGCCTCTGAACTGTTCTGGACGTTTTTTCTGCTCTTTAGGCGTAAATTAAAGTTCTGACCGCAGATATTCAACCAAACCGTGTATGATGAGTTGGTCAGATCTCCCTCTTTAGTTCCTACTGAGGGATCTCAAGGTGTGTCCAGGAAACCCTCACGAGGCATCTCAGTCAGCTGCTCGAGCCACCTCAGCTGCTCCTTCTGATGAGGAGGAGCAGCGACTCTTTGAGGATGATGATGGAGTCTGGCCCCGCCTACAGAGGAAGGTTCTTTCAGCCGTACCTCATCAAGGTGAGAGACTGGAGAAAAGATGATCGAGAGCTTTGCCTTTGGCTCAGCTCTTCACCACGACGGACTGGAGCATCAGCCTAATTACTGCAGACGACTCCTCGATCTTATTCCTCTCTCCCGTCACTCGTGAACAAGACTTCCAGATACTTGATCTCCTTTAAGTAACTATTTCGTTAACGGTTTAAAGAGTTTCTTGGCTACTGGGAAGGCTTTCATACCCCGGTGCAGGGGGGTCCGAACCTGGTCCTCGAGGACCAAGATCTAGACGTCGTATTCCCTGCTCTGCAGCAGGTTTTCAAGTTCTGCAGCAGCCTGTTAACCATTTATTGGTCCAAATCAGGTGTGTCAAAGCAGAGGAACGTCCAAAACATGCAGGATGGTGGCCCTCAAGGACCAGGATAGTGGCCCTCAAGGACCAGGATAGTGGCCCTCAAGAACTAGG